TTTTGGTCCCAGATGAGACCATCGTATTTTTTTGAGTAAACTTTTATCTAGAGATGGACCACAGATGGACGGACCATGTTAATAATTTTAGAGTGTATTAAATGGAATTAAGTTCGGTCGGGTCAAAGTATATACTTCTACGAGTGAAAAATGTAAATCAAATCGGCTACCTTCAAAATTCAGCATCGAAAAAGGTACAGAATTGTGCTTCTGGCCATTTTTGTACCGAAGTAAGAAGCTATAACTAGAAGCTATAGGAATCTCCTATTTAAATATCTGTATTTATTGCATAAATGGATACTCAATATAGCTTAGACAATTATATGAACTAATAACCAAGAGCGAATTAGTATCAGATCCTAAAAAATATCTTATAGCTACGAAGAGCCAAAAATCACCATTTCCTACTTTATCTGCAAGAGAAAATTTCTCATGTTTCATTGGCGCCGAAGTTACAAATGAGTACCAATACTCCCAGAACTATGTGATGTGAACAAAAATCTAGGAATGAAAGAAAAATATCCATGTCCCACATGCCATATTTTTGTACCAAAGGTACAAATACGCTTCAAATTCCAGCACCATACTAGTAGTACTTTAAACCAAGTATTCTTGCAAATGTGACATTGACTCCATCAGCACATTGTATGTATGCATAACCCCAAATTTCCCCACTTTCGAAAAATTCACAAAATTGTGCTTCTGGCCATTCATTGGAGCATATGGTCTAACTATTAACATTTCAGTTTGTAACTAGTACCGCCAAAACCCCAAAAAAAAGACCGGAGGGCACTATACTATTCCTGAACATTTCTGCTTGAATATTTTCCTCTTAAGAATTAAAAATATCACTGGTCATGCTCAATTCCACTAAGAGATAGTTTTGGAAGGAGCCACAAATCATCGTTAGTTTTTTTTTTTGTCTACAGATATTCTTAAAAGAAGTTAATTAAAAAAATAAAAACGACGAAGAGAAACCAAAGAAAAATGCAAACGAAAAAATAAGAAACGAGCCTTGCACATAAAATTAGGTCTTTTGTTCAACGAGAAACCAAAATTCCAACTGGCTGAAATTTTAAATATAGGTACTTAGTGGATCTATATTGGAAGTTTTCAGCAGGTAGAGTACATATCCCATAAAAATTTTAACTGTCTAATAACGGCTTTTATGAGTTTATTTATCATATTATGGGACATCCATCATTTTTCAAAACAGAGTTACCATTATAAAGCGCCTGCACATAATTGTGGACTAATATAGTCAAATTTTAATATCAATCATCCTATAAAGAATGCACACTTTTTGCGAATTTCAATACCATCTGAGTTGTGCTCCCAGATTCAGTAGGTTAATCTCAAATGAAAAGAAAGAAATATTAAAAAAATCAATTTTTTCTCCTTAGTATGTGTCATTCAACACGTAGCTTTCCCTCGATGACTCTGCAAATATTACCCACAAAAAATAAATACAAAATTTGCTAGTCATTTATCCACTGAAAACTAAAACAAATATTATTCGTCGCATACATTTCGATAACATGAAATTAACTCCCGATTCAATATGCAAATACCTCCTCAAATAAAATATATTTGAATGGATGATAGAATGGAAATTTGTTATTTAAATTCTAAACAGTTTTTATTGGACACTCCTTAAAATAGCAAAAGCAGATTTAGAAAATATATCGATCAGTAAAATATTTAATTCAATATGAATCGCCAAGAATTGATTCCAAAAAAAAAACGGAATAATAATGAAACGGGAAAGGTTCATAAACCTTTGACGTTACTTCTAAATTGACTTATCTTCATATTAGTATCTTTTACAGAGAGCTTTTCAAAACGAAGCATAGAACTTTACAAATCTTCAAAGATTTTTATATTTTCAAATGTGACTCATCGCACCCATTTAAAATTGATTTGAAATTTTCAAGTAATTATTCTTTTAACGCTCAATTGTCCACTTTACAAAAACGAAAATCCCAAATTAAAAAATGCCAACCAAGCATAAATTTACAATTATCTCCCAACAAAACTTCACCTCCCGACAAATTGCAGTAATCATCCGCTAAAGCCCTAAGATTTACTCACAGAAAAAAATACAATTTTTTCTTCAAACATAAACTTGAACTTGAAAATTTGGATGGTAATTTTGAATGATAACAACATTGCATACATAAATAACAACAAATTTTAAACAGATGTCTTTCGTCATGGTTTGTTTCTCACAATATTTTGTTTTAATCGTTCGAGAAAGGAAATAACGATAATCATTATCATCGCTTTAGTTTAGTTTTTTTTTCGTTTTACTATAGCTGACATTAAAAGTTCAATGCACCCCGAGTCGCTCAAAGGTGAATTCATAGAAAATAAAAGTCAATCAGTCAGACAGCACTAAAAAAACATATGACGCCAATGTTGATGATCTCAAAGTAAATATTAATGCGCTTCTTTAGATAGATATATAATTAAATTAAAATAGATGCGTTAATTGATAGTACCAATAATGTGAAGCGCAAAACAAATGGTTGTTGCTGTTTTTTGGTTAGAAAACGCAACTTTGCAGCAAAACAAAAGACTTAAGAAGCGAGCGTCTAACATTTTTTTTTTTAAACACGAAATGTGGGTGTGGGTAATGATATCAGCAGAACGATTTAAAAGCTTGGGGTATATATGAAAGTGAAAAAGCTTTGGAGAGAAAAACGAAATAACTGCTCGGTATTGTTTCAAAATGTGATTATTGAAACAAATTTATACCGAAAGGAACTTGTGTGCTGGTTTGGGCACTTATAACAAAAAGCTAAAATTCTTTTATTTATTTTTTTCAAATTGAATGTTATTTTTTACTCGGTTTGATGTTAGTAAATTAGTACCAAGTCCGATTTACCCGATTAGAAATTCGAAGTTCCTAATCAAAACCCGCATTATCTGTTATCACCGATTTCTAAAATGTTGAAAGAATCTGTCAGTATACAACTCTGTCCTTAGCCCTTGAAAAATATTCTTGAAAACCCCAAGTTTACTGCTTTGATAATCCTTGAAAAAATTTCTTAAAATTCAAGTTTTAATTCTGACAGTCCTTATCAAACAATGTTGATAGAATCCTTCAGTTGACAGCTCTGATAGTCCTTTAAAAAATATTCTTAAGTAATCCACGTTTATAGGTCTGAATGTCCTTGGAAAATATTCTTAAATAATCCACGTTTATATGTCTGATGGCCCTTGGAAAATATTCTTAAAAAATTCACGTTTACAGCTCTGATAGTTCTTGGAAAATATTCTTAAATAATAAACGTTTATAGGTCTGATGGTCCTTCCAAAATATTCTTAAATAATCCACGTTTATAGGTCTGATGGCCCTTGGAAAATATTCTTGAAAAATCCACGTTAACAGCTCTGATAGTCCTTGGAAAATATTCTTTAAAAGTCCACATTTATAGCTCAAATAGTCTTTGTAAAATATTCTTAGAAAATCCACGTTTACAGCTCTGATAGGTCTTTAAAAATATTCTTAAAAAATCCAAGTTTATAGCGCTGATCATTTTTATAAAAAATCTAAAGAAAACTACGTTTACAACTCTGATATTCCTTTAAAAAAGATCTTGAAAACTCCAGGTTAACGGCTTTAATAGTCCTTTAGAAAAAAATTCTTAAAAAAACTACGTTTACAGCTCTGATAGTCCTTTAAAAAAATATTACCAAAAAATCCACGTTTACAGCTCTGATAGTTGTTTAAAAACATTTTTAAAAAATCCACGTTTATAGCTGTGATGGTCCTTGAGAAAATATTCTTTAATAATCTACTTTCATAGCTCTGATAGTCCTTTAAAAAATAATTTTAAAAAATCCACGCTTACAGCTTAAAAACATTCGTAAAATTCGTTTATAGCTTTAATAGTCCTTGAGAAAATATTGAAAAAAAATATTCTTAAAAAATCCGCATTTGCAGATCTGACAGTCATTCAAAAAATATTCTTAAAAAATCCACATTTGTAGATCTGAAAGTCCTTGAATAATTTTTTTTTAAAATATCCACGTTTGTAGATCTGATAGTCCTTGAATAAATTTTCTTAAAACATCCACGTTTGAAGATCTGATAGTCTTTGAAAAAATATTCTTAAAAAATCCACGTTAACAGCTCTGATAGTCTTTGAAAAAATATTCTTAAAAAAACTTTCTTAGTAAATCCAAATTTATGAATCTCATAGCCCTTGAAAAAGGATTCTTAAAAAATAGCGTTTATAGGCTTTATAATCCTAATTAAATATTCATAAAAAATCTATGATATAGCTCCAATAGTCTTTGAATACTTCTCAAGAATCCTCGTTTGTTGCTCTGTTAGTTCTTGGAAAAATTAAAGAATTCAATTTTACAGTTCCGAAGGCTCATGAAAAAATATTCTTAAAAATCCATTGCTATAGCTCTGATGATCCTGGAAAAATATTTTTAAAAATCCACGTACTTAAAATTTTTTTTCGAAAAGAAACCACTTTTACAGCTCTGGTAGTCCTTGGAAAAATATCTTTAAAAGATTCAGACCTATAGCCCGACGGTTCCCGAAAAAAAATATTAAAAAATTCCAAGTTTATACCTCGGACTGCCCTTTAATAAATATTGGTAAAGATAAAAGTTTATAACACCAAAAATGCAGGTTTTTAGTTGTGATTGTTCTCGAAAATATCCTCAAATAAATTCAGTTTATAACACAGATAGTCCTTGAAAAATGTCTTTCAAAAATCCTCGTTTATAGATTTTATAGTTCTTGAAAAATCATTGCTATACAATTCATGATTATAGTCCTTGAAAAAATATTTTAACAAATCAACGTTTATTGTTTTGATAGTCCTTAAAATAATTTTGATTTAAAAATAATATAATAAAGAAATCAGTTACCGAAATGGCTTGAGAAAATATTTTATAGTGTTAGTATTATTGAAAAACATCAACAAATTTTACAATCCCAACAAAAATCTCATTATCATATCTCCTTTCAATTACAGCCTGGCCATCGTGTGCCACGTTTCTTCCTAATCAACTGGGGTATTTGTGTGCCTTCGTCATGCTCGCACAAAGATGTTGAATACACGGTCAGGGAATATCTAAACAATGTAACCGAATCCACAGGAGTATCATTCAAAGTTCGAGTTGAACCACAAATGTGTCAAGTTAAGGATAATAAACCCTGGGACAGTGGTACCGTCTGGGCTGTGTAAGTATACATTTTTTTATAGTAATAACCCGGAAATATTGTTACTTAAATATTAACTTCTTACTTTGTATGATTCATCTTTGTAGGCGTTTCTTTACAATTATTCTGTCGATAACCATACTGTCAACCGTATATCACGTCTGTACGAAGAACAAGAAGCCAAGTAAGTAATAATTAGATAATTATAATTTTTTAATACTGGTACTTAACAGTTGTAGTTGTCGTTGTTTTTCGTTTTGTTGTAGGAAAACACATAAATTATAGTTTATCTCTTTATGTTAATTTCGCATTTTAATTATTTTCCTGTCTTTGTTCTTTTTATATATATTTTGCATGACAGACGACTGGTTGGTAGCATTTTCTTTGGACAAAAATCTACGTTGGCTCTTTAACACTTCCTCCTCCCCCGAAGACATTGAAGCTGTCCATGGTCTGCGTCTGCTGAATGCTGTTATGTTGTTGTTCTCCCACAAGTCAATGGCCATATTTTTCAATCCATATGACAATCGCACAGAAATGGCAGAGGTAAGATTACATATTAAATTGTCATTAAAATAATACAATGTATTTGAAATTACGGAATCGGAACCAAAGAATTGCATCAGAACATAATACAATTTGCATAAGATAGACGTACATTTAGAAACTTTTGCGTGGCAATATGCTAATTTCATGAGTAAAATGTTAGGCTGCAATTTTTTTAGATCATATTCAAGAATTCCAATTGTCATTCGTAACATTTTTTTACAGTTCAAGAAATCTACTTGTTATTCGTCCACCCATTTTATATTAGATTCATTTCATTTTCATTTTTTTCAAATTATTTTCAAAAATAAATATATATAAAAAATTATCCTGGCTTCGATTTTTCGAATTACAAATAAAAATTAGAAGTAGAAATGAAAAAAATTAAATTAAAAATGAAGAAACCGAATAACAATAAAATATCTTCAATTTCAAATGGAATTTCACCGATCGCAACTAAAATACTCAAATAACACTTGATTTTTTTTTTTTTTTTTTGAGTTGCAAATGAAATTCTCAAATAACTATTGAAAAGTTTCGAATTTTAAATGAAATTCTTAAATTTCAAATTAAGTGTTGCGAACTACAAATAATATTCTCGCATTACATCTGAAAAAGTCGTATAAGATGATCTTTTGAATAGTTTTCATTAAAAAAATGTATATATATATTTTATTTTTTATTAAAAATAAATTAATTTTTTTATCTGCAGGCTTTGGGACAACCCTGGACTGTTGTTGGCCGTGCAGCTTCTTTGTATACGGATCCCTTCCTTCTATTCAGTGGCATGTTGACGGCTTATTCATTTTTTGGACGTTTGAATAAGGGTCAAACCATCAAGCTGAAAAATGAATACATCAATCGTTTTATTCGGTAAGTGTTTTAATGAAATCGAACTCTTTGGAGGACTTTGTTCTAGAAGAAAACTGATTGTATGATACAAATCAAATTTAAAATAGATACACGTAGATAGGCAATACACACGGAGGACAGTAGTCATTGAAAACATATTCATTAAAAATTCAGATTTATAACTCTGATAGTCCTTGAAAAAATATTCTTCACGTTTATAACTCGAAACATTCATAAACATTTTTTTAAAGAATCCTAGAAAAAATATTCTTAAAAAATTCAACACTTTTGTCTTGAAACATTCCTCAGGAATGTTTGAAAAAATGTTCTAAAAACCAGGTTCATAGCTCAAATAGTTAAAAAAATCATAAAAATTCAGTTTTATAGCTTTAATAGTGAAAATCATGAAAAATATTTTTAAAGAATCCTAGAAAATATTCTTAAAAATTCCACATTTTTTGTATTGAAACATTCCTCAGGCATGTTTGAAAAATTGTTCTAAAAACCAGGTTTATAGCTCAAAAAGTTTTAAAAAATCTTTAAAATTCAGTTTTATAGCTTTGATAGTTTTTAAAAAATATTTTTAAAATATGCAGATTTATAACTCTGATAGTCCTTGCAAAAAATAGTCTTAAGAATTCATGAAAACATTCTTAACAAATCCTTAAAAATATATCCGAACCAAATCCATGTTCATAGATCTGATAATACTTGAAAAATATCCCTAAAACGTTAATTCCACGTTCCATTCCACGTTAATACTTCTGAAAGTTAATGGAAAAAATTCTTACAGAATCCCTAAAAAATACTATTAACAAGAACAAGGCTGTAGCTCTGATAGTCCGTTGAAAAAATATTTTTTAAACAAATTAACGTTAAGAGCTCTGGGAGTTCATGAAAAATAAGAAAATATTCTTAAAAATCCTCGTTTATAGTTGTGAAAGTTCATGTAAAAACGTGTTTAATGAATCCTGAAAAATAGGGACAACCCTGAACAACTATTCTTAAAAAAAAAACAGGATTATGGATCTGATAGTTCTTGAAAAATTTTCTTCAATCAAGAATCCTTAATAAAATATTCTTTAAAATCCACATCTATATCCTTGAAAGTTCATTAAAATAATGACAATAAAAAAGATAATTTAATCCTTGAAAAAAAGTTAAAAAATCTATATTTATAGCTCTAATAGTCCTTAAAAATATTGCGAAAAATTAAAGTTGATAGCTCTCAAAGATCATAAAAAATATTCTTAACGTATCTTTAAAAATATTCTTAACAAATCCAGGTTTATAGCTCTACCAGTCCTTGAAAAATTATTCTTAAAAATGAAGGTTTATGGCTTTAAAGTTAAAAAATCAAGGTTTAAAGTCCTCTAATAGTTCAGGATTTTTTTTTAATAAATACTTGAGAAAATTTCTTAAAAATTCCATGCTCTAATATATCCAACAAATATTTTTAAAAACCACTTTTATATCTCTGAAAAAAGTCAAATCTATAGGTACGATAATCCTTGAAAAATAAACCACGTTCATAGCTTACAATCAATCAAATTTAGGAAGCAATTGCAAAGACTGGAAATATTTACAGTAGATATATACCTAGAAATCCAAAAATATTGAAATTCAAAGCTATAACTATATGGAGAAATGTCAAAACATGAACCTACTCCCAACATTTTCAGCTGGAAGAGTTTGATAATTCTGAAAATCCGGATGTACAATTCGATGGGGGTTAAAGTAGAACTTTAGTCTATTATTTTATCTAATATTTTTCCATTTCGAGAACTAAACATGTTAAAATCGGGTTGTGATCCGGGCCGAACTTCAGTTATATCGGGGCTATACCAAAACTTAGATCTGTTTAGACAATTTTCTGTCATTTGTTTTAGTATCCTTTACGAACTCCAAATACCAAATTTGAAACAATTGGTTTCCATATTATGGCTAAAATGGTCAAAATACAGAATATCGGGAGGTATCTTTCCACGGACCTATAGGAAAACTTGAACCTATCTGGTAAATTTTCTGCCAGAGAAAATAGAGACCATTTGGAAGCAAAATACCGAATTTCAAACAATTCCAATAGAAAATGTGGCGAATGTCATCAAAATACCAAATATCGTTGGGTACCATTATATAAGGTATAGAGAAAAACGTAGACCTGTTATAAACTTAAAATATACAATTTGAAAGTATTCTGTTAAAAAATATGACTACATTTATTATTAAAATTATAAGTACACCGAAAATCCTGAGGAACCATTATATGGAAGCCGTACGAATTCGTGGACCTATATAGGCCAATTTTTGTCTGGTAGGCTAAGAACTTCTAATACCAAATTTCAAATAATTCTTTTTTAAAATGTGGGTACAATCATAAAAATGTCGACTGTCAGGACTGGGGCTATATAAAAACGTGGACCCTTTTTCAATCCCATGAAAATTTCAGACATAAACATGGACCTATATGGCTCATTTAACTGCATGCAAAATATAAACTAGCAAATCAATTACAATTTACGACATAGTGTGTACGGTATAAATTTAATACACTTAAACTGTTTCCCCAGCATATTTAATTTTTAGTATACACATAAACCTCCAATCATCATTTTTAGGCTATGAAAAAAACAAAAACAGATTCATTTTTATAGAAAAGTTAATAAAAAAAGTTATTTTGAAAATAGTCCTTAATTTGTCCATTTGGTCTGCTAATCAAACAAACGTAAATTATATTAAAGGCATAGTTTATGAAGAATGTCTGTGGGCAAGCTAAAAGTGATTCTCAATAAAATATCTTTATAATGTATACAATTATAAAATGATAGATAGCTCTATGAGAATGAGTATCAATATTCCACACAGTGTTTTTAAATGTTAATGGCCGCTAGCAACTTTATCACACTATACAACTTAATCACAAATACAAAATCATTGTTGCCCCCGCGGCGTTTTACTTAAATATCACGTTCCTAAAGTATCACGTTTATTCCCACTTTTATTTTATTGGGTGTTACACAAAAAATTGTAAAAAAAAAATATTTTTGTCAAATATAAAAATTACTATACATATTTCTCATACAGCATCAGAAAAAAATATTGAAATACATATTTATGAATTTTTGCTCAAAATAATTGTAATGTGAAAAAAGAACTATTCGAAAAATATTTACGATTTTTTTAATTTCTATCAATTGTAATCAATACTATGAAATAAGGAGAAATTACAATCACATAATGATGGCTAAATTGAATCCAAAAATTTAATTTTTGATTAAATGCTATGCTATAATCCTAAAACTGGCTATAATTGACTTCATTCATTACTAGGTATGAATACGTTTCAATTCATTAACCACCTTCTGTAAATACATGAAGTAGTCATTCATATTGCCAATTAATCATTTTCAATATTTTTTACTAACTGTGAATCACGACTGTATGCGAGAATTATAATATTCGTCCAGTAACTGTATCAGAAAAACAAATCAATTATTTTAAAAGTTGTCAGAAAATTAAGTGTAAAAGAAACAACTACAAGTGTATCAGAAAAAGTCGGTCAAGGTCTTTTTAAAAACCACACTCACTTGGAGTACAATTTATGTTAAAACAATTTTAGAATTTATTTTTTAAACAATTATAGAATTGATTTAGTTTGATAACTACATTCAAATGTAATTAACTTTATAATTATTATTTAAAAATTAAATTGTCAATTCAAATTTTCAATGGTTAATGGGCATTTTAAAATATCAAATTTATGTCATGATTAAAACTTTGAATATTCAACTTTAATGTGTAACTTTGTTATAAGAAAAAAAAACGAAGAAATGTGCAAAGAAAAAAAATGAGGTAATACCAACATTTCTTATTAGCCTTACATTCCGGATTTTCTGCGACTCGCTTAATAATTAGATTACCCTGTGCGCGAACATGAAAAGTTTGAGAAAAGTGCTATGTTTTAATACATTAATAGGACAATTGTTTTTAATTTTTTGCTCAGATATAGCTGATTAACATTAGGCATTTATAATTGCCGCAATTGTCAATTTATAGGTTAGTGAGGGGGAAGAGCATGTACGGCCTTGCTTTATTACAATCCCTTTTACTAACAACTGACTATTTTTACAAGAAAAATTTGCCTAATCTAACACAGGAGATACTTTACAATATCTTTTTGAATGATAGTAGTTTTAACAATTCATAATTTATTTGAAATTGCATAATCTCCTGATTTACACAAGGTAACTTAACTAAAATTGTACAAATACAAATGTTAAAACAAATGTTTAGGAAAAATTACATTTTTAAATTGTCGTTAATTAACACTTAATAATTTAATTTTGCCTTAACATTTGTTTAAATATTAGTATTTTTACAAATTACAGGTAAGTAGCCCAGTGTACATCAGGAGATACAATTTCCATTGTCTTTGTCAACTTCAGACTGCTGTCATTTATAAGCCACTCGTCCGACAGCTATTAAAATTATTCCAGCGACAGCTCACTATATTGTTTACATGCGTACAAAAGCATTTTGGTGAGAATTTTCCAGAAAAAAGGCATTCGTGATGGAATTCAAGCGTGATAGTGTGATTTATTTATATAGAGCATTCCAGCATTTACATGTGAATAAATCTTTTCTGTCTCGTATCATCGCTCGTTACCGTGATACTGGTAGCGTAGCCCAACGTCAAGAAAGTGAACGGAAGAAAACAGGAACATCAGCAGAAATTGTTCGAAAAGTAAAGAAGCGACTTGATCGAAACCCGCGTCGCAGTGGCCGAAAAATGGCTCGTAAGCTGAACATATCGCAATATTCCATTTGGCAACTATTGAAAAATGAGCTCGGGGTAAAGCCATTGAATTTCCAAAAAGTGCAAGGACTTACACCGCAACAGAAAGAAAATAGATTCAAAAGAGCTAAAGAGTTGCTTCGTTTGACCGAATGAGGTGAACTGCCGAATTTGGTTTTCTCCGATGAGAAAACATTCGTTGTTCAGCAGTTTGTAAACAAACAAAATGATCGTGTTTACTTGCCAAAGAGGCCAGCTGAAAATGTGCACCTTCGGTTGGCCACCAGAACTCAAGCGCCGACCGGGGTGATGGTGTGGACCGCCATAACAGCGGATTTCTCGTATTAATCGAACGTGGTATCTGAATAAATGCCGAATATTATAGCGAAAATATTCTGGAGGTTGCATTTAAGCCTTGGGCACGCAAACATTTTGGCCGCAGACATTGGACATTCCAACAGGACTCGGTACCATCGCACTCAGCACACTCCACCCAAGAATTGTTACAAAATGAGGTTACTCGCTTCATCGATCGTCGATCACCTCTAACAAGCGCTTCACCGTGAATGGGCGAAAATACCGCAGAGCATTATTCGGGCAGCGTGTAACAATTTCATTGGCCGTTTGAAGGCCTAAAATTTGATGCTATTTCCGATATTTTTTGCTTTCATTCAATAAAATTTAAAAAAAATGTAAAAATGATGGCGTTTGACTTTGTTCCAGTTTTTTAGATCACCTTGTATAATAATATTATATTATTTTCTAATTAAACATTTATCTCCAAATCCCTTGCTAATTATTCCAATTAATTTTCAATATTTTATTACTATTTTGCAGCATTGTTCCTCCACTGGGTGCTCTTATCCTCTTCTGTACGTTCATTTTGCCAATGTTGGGCTCAGGACCTCAATGGAATTTGGTTGTTGGACATCATGCTGATATTTGCAAAAAGAACTGGTGGCGTAATCTGTTGTTCATTCACAACTACTTTGGCTTTAGCAATATGTGTTTGACACACACCCATCACTTGGGCATTGATACACAACTGTTTGCCGTTGCTCCTTTCATGATTTTCGCCATGTGGAAGTGGCCACGTAAGGGTGCCATGGCCTTGGTAGCCTTGGCCTTGATTGCCACTTTTGGACGTTATTATGTTACCGTGTTCTATGAGCTATCCAATTACATTTATTTTGGTACCAAGTAAGTATAAAATACCTACTTATTCAATTTCGTTTTCTTATCCATTTCTTTCTTTGTGTCCTCTTTTCCAGCATCAAACGTTTATTCCGCACAGCCGATCGTATGTACTCCTTCCCTCCGCTACGTTCCACCGTTTATATCATGGGTATTTTCTTGGGCTTTGCCTTGCGTAAATGTCGTGGCATTAAGTTGTCGAAAACTCAATTATATTGGGGTTGGTTTGTGGCCATTGCTTCACTCTTGATATCGCTTTTGGGCCCAGCCCCCATGGGTTCCATGAGTTATCAATACAACAGCACACACTCAGCAATCTATGCAGCATTTGTTCCCATTACATGGTGTATATTCTTCGTCTGGGTTGTCTTTGTCTCACACAATGGCTATACAAGTAAGAAGACTTTTCATTATTTCAATTCTGTTTCATAAACTTATTCAATAACTTACCATCATTTTAGATTTCATCACCGACTTATGTTCATGGAAGGGTTTCCAAGTGTCCACCAAGCTGTCATATGCCATTTATTTGACCCAATTTCCTGCATATTTCTTCAATGTAGGACGTCGTCGTCATGTCCATCACTACTATAATTTCGTTTCAATAATGGTAAGCAGCCACTCATATTTTCCATTTCAAACATGGTCCTTAAATTTGCATATTCTTTTCTTACAGCTTGATACCAATGAATATTTGTGCATATTTATTGCCTCGGTTGTGTTGACAGTGCTGTTCGATGCACCTTTCCAAAATATTAGAAAACTGCTCACAAAACGCACCCCAACCGCTGTAGCCTCTGGTCCTGCCGACACCACTAACACCAAATCAGTTACCGCCAACGGTAGCATTTCCAAAGACACCATCACAACACCAAGCAAACATCTGCATTCCGAATAGTTTTCCACACACTCACTCCCCCATGTACCTAACAATATACATCTGCGAATGTCGCGTGTATTGTTGTTGGTGTATCCAAATGTATAATTTTGTGTATTTATGTAGTTTAGTGTTGTTTTAGTTGTAGTCCTATTTAATTCGATTTATTTTTACGATTCTAATTGTACACATTTGTTCATATTCCTCTTCATCTCTTAAGCATTTTACATGGTAGTCCTAAATTAATTACACATTAATCGACGCTATTCCTGTACATACACTAAGCACGAAGCAAGCAAACCAGCATCATGCATTTGCATCCATATCTAGTATTATTTTTTATTTTATTTTTATGATTAATCATGCGAAACTAATGAGTTTGTTAGTCATTTGTTTTAAATTAGGCCATACATTTGTACAGTAAAATTTAAATAATAATAATAAAAGAAAGAATTAAAAAAACTTGTGTGTTTTTAATTTAATTTTTTAGGAAATCTTGTGAGTTGTATGTTTTTCATAAATGACAATACGAAATACATGTAATTCACGTAATAAGAAATTATGGCGTATTCCGTCTTCAGAATAAAAATAAAGGATTAGTAAAAAAGCGTTAACTGTTTGTAGACTGTTTTCATTTAGTATATGAATTACGATATCTCACAATGTTGTACCTTTGTGCGGGTAACTACAGTCCAGGGAAAAGATTTTGGCATTCGATATCGAGAAAAATTTCGGACATACTCATTTTAGATTGATGAAAGGAAAAGTTTGGTAGAAACAATTGGTGTTCAAACCTAACATTCAATATTTAATCACTCCTATCGAAATTTTCAATTGAATCAAGATATCATTGACATATTAAAATTTATTTCCATCGAAATTTTATCGACATCGATGAGAAAATTTGCCCCAGCCTTGAACTGGATCCAATCAGGACATCTACTCCAACCTCATAGGTCCTATCTATGATTGTAAAAAATAGTACTCTATGAAAAATTTAAATCCAATCAACCTCCCATTTGAGGGTTGAAGACGGACGGATTTTGGGGTTTATAATTCATGAATTTCATTTTGATACCCCACAATAAATGGTTATATTAATTTTATCATGCCCTATGTAACACCTCGAAATACAAATTTCCAATTGGATTACAATTTTAAAACGGTCGAGATTAAACTGTGTGAGATTCATTTTTATTCCCACACAAAAATATAATAAAAAGGTAAGGCAGAGCTACCAGCTGATTACAATTTTTTCTGAGTGTGCCCGACTTCTGCCAATTTTGTGTATGCACTATTGTTTTGAAAAAATCAAACAAAATATTTTCAAAATCAATGATTGGAAGAGATTTAAATTGCGGGGCGCGCATTAATGGTATTAACCAGATTTGCCACGGAATTGACAAATTGAACACTTAGGATCATATATTTGAGAGAACATTCAGACATTTCATTCATCTTTCGCGATATTTGACTCAATTTAAAAATGAACAAAAAATATCAAATAAATGAAAACAACTTATTGGATATAATTTTGAAAAATTCTGACTGGAAGCGGGCATAGCTTCAGGGCTGTATTTCTGTTGTTTTACGAAGCTGTTCTACCTCCTTATTGTACCATGTAATAACCTAAAAGCCTACAAAATAACCTAAGGCCTACATAAGGTCTACCAGTAAGCCCATTTGACTACCAAATTTGCAGTAAAAAAAATAATTGTGATTTGACATTCAATGAAAGTTCAATTACAATAATGCAAAGACTATTAACTTTGTTGGCAAATTGTTTTCAAAATTTGCCTACTTGACGGACCTCCGAAATTTGGTAAAAAAATGAAACTTTAAGAATTATTAATATTCTACATTTGTAGATTCGGTTTATGTTTTGGTATAGATTGGCATAACCCTAATTCAAGTATTTGAAGGCTTCACTCAAGTATTTGAAGGCTTCACTTCAATGAATTTCGTCGAAATGTTGAAAAATCTGTAACACGTCCTCCTCCTCACTCTTTCTTCACAAATTACAAGTCTTAGTTGGCCACCATTTTCCATAATTTTGATATAAATATTAGCACGGACCAAGTTTAGACTACATGAGGCAAATGATTTTTATATGAGATATATTTGAAATTTTTTCGAAATTTTTTAAATTTTGGAAAAGTACTAAAAAAGGGGGACCGATGTATTACATTCCAAAATATGGGAATGTGCTATGTTTGAAGAATATCGAACATTGATTTTAGATATTACCTTTGAAGAGGTAGCTACTAGAAGACTAATAGGACTGGACCATTTTCAATGCCAATAATCCTAGCCGCAATGAAAATTATTATGCCAACTTTCAGAGCTATACGTCACATAATATGGGCTGTAATTTGATTTCGGACAAACAAGCAGACGGCCATCGTTTAGTCCACCTAGAATTTAACGCTGATCACGAAAATATGATCTTCCTAGGGCGTCCGCTTTATGTAGGCTTTACAAACGGACTGACCAATTTAATATACCCTTCTTTCCATGGAGGAGAGTATACAAATGACGAGATGCCAAATCTGAAAAATATTGGTGACTCCCATACCTCAATTTGAGAGTTGTATTTTTAGCAAATATTTGAACTCGATATAAGTTTGGTAAATATATTACTATGTGCCATGGACGATATTCCCTTTGAGAGTTATCGTGCCCACAGACAGGCGGGCATGGCTAGATCGAATCCAAATATGTTTAAACTTAATTCGCCAAAGAGATCATATAAATATTATATCAGATACGTCAGCCGTATAAAAAAACAAAAGCTACACCAAAGAAGTACCCAGGACTGAGCTCTGTGTCAATAAATTAAGAGAGAATACGGAAAATCTGTCGAATCTCTGAACGTGTTCCTTGAAACATAATTTATGTAGAATATACAAAAATTGTCAAAAAGTATCTATTTTGGATTCACAGTAATCTGAGAGTTTTATTTATAATTTTATGGGAAGGATCTTTGGCATGGTATATTATGTCAATGCATTTCCACTTTAGAACGTTTTTCATCAATGGTACCTGTTACGCAAAAGTACATGGCTAGACAAACTAGGGGACAGGTGGGTTATGGGCATGAATTAGTTGTCAAATAAGGATACTATATAAGTTTTAAAATGAAATAATTATCAGATAATGACTCACCATTTTTGCTGGTTATTGCTCGTTTTCCTTCATAATTGGAATGCATCTTGGAGTTCATCGTAGTTATTAATATTCATCAAACTCAAATTTAAAAAGTATGTCTATAATATGGCATATGGCATGAAGATTGCACTAAATGTCTTATAGATCGGATTGAGAACGTTCATAGAGACTTTAATTTGGTTATAACATATTCAGATAATATAAGCACTTCGCATCTTTCGTATAAATTTCACTACCGAAAATTAAAAGAATATTTTTGGTTTATCTCGTAGGAAGTAAAATACAATCCATCCTTTGCAGTCCTTCTAATTAAACACGTACATTAACGACGGAATCAAAACCGGAAGTTTGGCATATTTCTTTTATTACTCCGAACACAAAACGCGACATTTTTATCGTTTCACTATTAGTTTATTTAATAAGCAATTGTGATTAAAAACGAAATCTAGTAAAATGTTTTTTTGATTTCAGTAAATAAATACACTCGATAAACACTTGAGGAAATTTTGTACGTTTTCACTTTATCTCCAAGGAACTCAAACCTTTACAACCCTTCCTTTATGTGAATTCTAATTTGACTTTTGCATTAAAAAAAGCGGGAAATATCAACTGATTTGCAATTGCAGCCTCCACTTTTCAATTGAAAACAAAAAGTTGGGCGAAGCACTAATATCACTCTTGGATAACAATAAGCATAACTTAGGTTGGCTCTTTGTCTATTCAAAAGGGATGCGTCTTTGATTTTCCTAAATGTCAAATATAGTTCACCACACTTATTAATAGCTTGAATCTTGCACTGAAGTTGTCATAGTTTGGATAGAGATCATTTACAGATCCTTAGTTAAGAGTTTCTGATAATAAACGATGTAATCTGCATATACAACTAACGAAACGGAGTTGGTTTTTATCACTTAGGAAATTATTTTCAATCAAACATTTACAATAAAAGCGCGGGAAAGCGAATGTTTGGCATTTTTCTTTTAGCACTCCGAACACGAAATAAACACGACTTCCTTTAACAACTTCTTATTTTTTTATTATTAAATTATTACTTTATTGACAATTGTGATTAAAAACTCTAGAAACTAACAATTTTTCTTTTTGATTTCAATAAAAAATACAAAATACCATGCACTCAAAAATTACATAGGGAGAGGTGCAAACATTTTCACCTTATTTTCATGGAAGTAAAACCTTTACTGCCCTTCCTTTTACCCATTCTTATTAGGCTATAACATTAAAAACGCGGGAAAAATGAATGGATGCGCAACAATGACATTCACATTCCAATAGAAAGCAAAATACTCGGCAAATTTATATTCTCACACGCGGATAACACACAACACAAACATTACCGACCTTTAAACACACAGCGACTTTATTTTTATTAATTTAACTTATTTAATTCACAAAAATATTGAAACGAAAGGAGTTGTGTCCTCCCAAAATTTACGGTTACAAGTGACTTTTGATTTTTATACAGCGCTGCATAATTGTGGACGAACGACGAGAGCTTTAATGAAGAGTTGTATTTGCTTGCCATTCATTTTTGTGATTACTCGACAAGTACTCTATGTGAGTGTAGTAGGTTACGTTTAGGGAATACGTTAGGCACTTGTTATTTCCCTTTTGGAGTGTTTGCAATCTAATTATTTAGTTAAAATTGTGTTTTTTTTCTCAAAAATGTGTGTATATCATAAAACTCAACAAAATTAAATTGATGGTGTTCAATATGAAATTATTATACCGATTTGTTTTCATTGCCATGAAAAATGTATTACCTTTTTTTTACATTTTTCAAAGGTACACTTTTCGACACTTCTATGGTCCATAAACAAATTACACAGTAAACCCATCTCACTACAAAGTTTGGCTGTCAAAAACGTTACTGCTATTCAATTAAAAAAAAGAAAAAATTTGAAAACATGTACTTTTTTTTTTGATTGCCGAGAAGTAAAGCAATTAATGTTGAGTTTTTTTAACGTTTGCTGTCGAAAATTTACGAAATATTCCTTTCGCTGTGAGAGAAAATTGTTGACATTCAAATTTTAAGTTTTGAATGAAAAATTATTCGTTTGTAAAAATTGTTGAAAAATGCATGTCATAGTAACATCCGATTGGTGTCGTACAGGAAAACTTATAAAAATTAACTTATTTTCGGAAAAACATTTAAACATTTTTTGACATATCAATATTCCCAAGCTCTGATGCATCTACGAGTATTTCTCTACCATGTGCACACTTTTGTATTAATAAACTGCGTTGAATTTTATACCCTTCAATCAGTTAGTCGCATCAGCAGCTGTGTGATGGAACAATTAGCTGTCAAACCAATTGAAAATTTTGAATGAAAATATATTCAAATTTGTTAAAATTTTTGGAAAACAACAACAACCTATGATTGGCGTTGTATAAGAAAACATGTAAAATTCTACTTATTCCTGAAAAAAAGAAAAACAAAAATATTGACATATCAATGTTCCCAAGCGATGATGCATCTTCCTGTATTCTTCTACCATGCACCCAACACGAGAAAAACTTAAATTCTAGCGACATTGGTTAGCTGTAAAATGTTTAGAAAAACACACATTGAAGCTAGAGTCTTATAAGTTCAAATTTGTTCACTTGAAAACTTTCTTACAGTATTTAAAAAAAAAGAAAAATAGCTTTCGAGTTCCTAATTCCGTTTTATTCTGTGAAAAAGAATTTAGTTTTCAACAGACATAACAAGTGCTCTGTACCAGAACCTGCAAGGATCTACATATTTAGTAAAAACTTCAACATTTTTGCTGTTCTTGAACAAACCAAAGGCTACCATAAGAAAACAATGTATTCAGGCGATTCCTATGCCCTACCCATGTTACAATGAAGACAAGGTTGGCTAACTTTGAAAAAAAATACAAGTAGCCTAATTTCAGAATTACTATCAAAACAATCAAAACCCCAAACAACTTGTTGCCTTGATTTTAAATAACTGGATGAAAGGTCAAAATGTCTTTTCAAAATCATGTTCTATATATCTCTAAAGGCACATTTCGCTACAAAATGCTGAAGCATTGTAGATGCTTGCGTTGTAATAAGCATTTTGAAAACACCCGAATTTGAATATTTTTGCTCTGTTCCAGTACCGGCAGAAATCTACTTTTTTGCAATTTTCTTCGATATCATAAGGGAAAACCGACAGTTCTGGAACAGGCCATTTCTGGACAATTTTTTATTATTGAAAAGAATACACACACATCAAAAATAATGTTGACTTGTTAAGGCAAGAAAATAAAAAAATATATATAAAGTCATATGGTATCATACCCTACCTTGATTTTATTATACCACGGGTTAACCCAGGCAATGTTGCAATTTAAAGTTCATATGTGTTTTGGCTATAGATTTGCTGTGGTCTATTGATGTACGCCCTTATTGGAGCTTTTTGCCGAAATCCGCTCTTTGAGCGTTTATTTAACGTATGTCCCATAAAATCCAAATCTAATGGACTATTAATTTTGGTTTACTATAAACTATTTATTATATAGGTAGCGATGTAAATTAAAATCTTATAAAATTCAAATTCCACCATTGAAAACAATAATTTAGGTTTGTCGTTTAAACATGAACTATTAAACGTCGGAGATTCACAATTCTTGCGTCTTAAACTCATCCCTCAGAATGGCAAGATTCGACAAAAAGAAAACATGCAGTGTTTCGTTCATAGTTCACTAATAACTAAAACAAATTATTTGTATGTCGGCTACATAATTCCTTTTGTGTTTTGATATGAACTCTTCTTATGGTCTCCAATCTTACATATCCACTTTGATCCAATTGTAAAACACATTCACTTGTTGTCACAACAGTTGTTTTTTTATTCTTTTCTCAAACATATTCACATTATCTTTACAGTTGCTTTATCCAGTAAACAAACTGGAAACATACAAAATATTTTAATAAAAAAAGACGAAGGTGACTTTTTTGTTGAAATTAGACGTCAATCCACACAACATCGACCAACTATTTAGATACATGGTATCTATTTAGCTTGGGTGGCCTTCTTGGGTTTGGCTTGGGTACCTTCACGGAAGCCGTTGCGGAAACGTCTACGGACAACCTTCAAGTGACGCATGCGGCCGGTACCAGTGGTCTTCCTCCTCTTGGCCTTGATGGACCAGTTGTCTGTAAAAAGCAAAATCACAAAATTATTCCAAAAATTCTTGAAAAACATATTAAATTGGTAAATATATCCAAACATACAAATGATTATTAGATGAACGTATCCATTAATACATTAATGTTGTAATGTTTGTTTTGATCTGCCTGTGTGCTTGGGACCAAAAGCTATGGTAAAAACTAAGATCTTCAAAACACAGGCAATGGAAAAGCAAATTTCGAAATTTTTTTACTTTAGTAACCACAAATAATTTACATATTGAATCGAACATAAATTTAGCTTCATATTGTGCTATTCCATTATTTCTGACAAGATTTTGCAGGTTAAAATACTTACAGGAACGCAACTTAGCAGCGGGATAACCGCATTGAGCGCAAGTTGACTTTTGGATGTGGTAGGAGGAGCGACCGCAACGACGGCACAAAGTGTGCGTCTTATTATGGCGTTTACCAAAGCTGGATGTACCTTTCGTCTGTAAAATTCGTAAGAAAAAAACACAAAATTAATAATATATTCCAAATTATAGTTTTTCTCGAATCGAAGCACTTTTTAAATCCTGCTGCAGTTCAAAACCATCACTAGATATTGTAAACACAGAAACATTAAAATTGTTTCATTCCACCACAACTCAATGCTCACTTTCGGACATTATTTACACAGATAAATTCTGTCATTTATCACAAAACATCCCATACATTTTACAATTTCGTTCATATTTTACATTTTTCTTGCATTTTCACATAATTTCCATTGGTGATGGCTTAGAATTTTCAAGATTTAAAAAATTTTCACAATATATAAATAATTCCTACCATCTTGGATCGAAAGACCGCAGAAGAAAGAGCGACACAAAGAAAAGGTCGAAATACGGCCAACTTCACATGACAGATGGGGTTGTCAAAAATCAATTGCAACTAACTTCAGGGCACAATAACATAGGTAATGAAAAAATTGGCAACGCGAATGGACTAAATATGAAGTAAAATAAAATTAATTGAATAAAAAATTAAAATAGGTTAACATATTTTTTATAGTTTAATATTTTAACATAGATAACGATTTACGGAAGGTTTATTTTATTTTAAGTAATGTCAACTTAGCGTTCCAATATGACAAAATATAAAAACAATTATTTTCTGATTTTTTAACTCTTGTCGCATTTTTTTCCGTGTCCTTTGTAAAATGTTTTTCTTTATTAAAGACAAAAATCGTTAACTTTCGAAAGTAAACTTTCCATTTTAAAGTGAAATTAAATGGTCTTTTCCAGAATTGCAAGAATGTGAAACTTTTTACTGCGATAACCAATTTTCCTTTATGATATCGGAGAAAATTGCAAAACTAGGAGATTCTTGCAAGTTCTGGAACAGAGCAAAAGTTATTGTTGGATTATTTATTTTATTTCTCTGTTTTAATAAAAACAAATGCAGAACTACAAGAATATGAGTTTTTACTACGGTAACGATATTATATTATTTTTTTATTTTAATAATAGAAAATTGTTCAAAAAATATGTTTTTGAAAAAAAAAAATGTTGACCTTCCATTCATTTTTCACGATTTTCAATTTATTATTCAAAATCAACGCAACAAGTTTGGTTTTTTGATTGTTCTGATACTAATTTTGACATTACAAGCCAAACAAATAGACCTCTATGCTTGCAATTTTTCAAAATTTAGTTTACCTTGTCTTCATTGTACCACGCGATAACCGATGTTCCCTTAATGAAATCGAAAAAATTGCAAAAATAGACAATTTTTAGACATATTTAATATTCTCCATTCCCGTACTTTCTGAGCAAAGCAGCTCTCTCAGAGCGAAAATGTTACTAGTTTCACATTTAAATGACCTGTTGCAGAACCTGCAAGAATATACTAATTGTGTATTTTTTTCGTTATCATAGAGGAAAAATCGGTTATCGTAGTAAACACTTTTACACTCTTGCAATTTTGGAACATAGCAAAAATGTACGGGAATACAACAATAGGCCCTATATCTAGGAAATTGTGACATAAAAACTTTTGTAAAAAATGTCACCTGTAAAATTGTATAAGCGAAAAATTGTTCATAGATCTATTATCTATCACATGCTGTGTTTTAGAGCTACAAGAATGTAAAAGTTTTTACTATGATGCCCGATTTTTCCTTTATGATATCGAAAAAAATGCAAAACTAGAAGATTCTTGCAGGTTCTGGAAAAGACCAACCGTGGTGCAACTCTGTGAAGGAGTCTTATAGTCTCAAATAGACATTTAAATACGCAACATAATAATTTCAAATTATTGTTTTGTTTTAATTCAAAACAATACACAAAATGTGTATATATGAAAGAATAAGGGCACCATAAGAACAAAATTGTATTTATGGGGTAGCTTTGTTATACCTTTTGTTATTGTGCCATGAGAGCAACAATTCTGTGTTTCTTTAAACTTGCTGTGTGTCCAAGCCCCAAAAAAAGTTCATAGAGCTAAATTATTCGTAATTGGCAACACTACTTCTAATTTCTCTTGCTGCTTGCTGTATTTCTGCTCGGAGCTCGATTTCTGGAATTTGAGGATTTCAAAAAAGGACTCCCACTTACAATGAGTGTTCCTGAAAGTGCTGTTGGTTCCGAAACAGAGCTACTCCAGTGTCCGTATGAAATTTCCCATATGATTATGCGCAAACGTTTTCAAGTTCATTTGGTGCGCTGTCGCAAAAATCATCCCAAGGCCGAGGTAGTTACATGCCCCTTTAATGTTACTCATCGCGTGAACAAAGTAGAATTGGAGGTAAATTAAAACACATATATATTACACAGGGAATAAGATAATTTTCTTTTCAGTGGCATTTATCAAATTGTTTTGATCGTAAATCGTTTGAAAACTTCCGCAACCGTCCTGCACCTGTGGTCGGCCTGAGCTCTTCAATTGATCGCACTTTCTGTGAAAGTGATTCAACTCATCGTAGTTTGTGCACAAGCATTGCTAGTGATGTTACCATAGTAGGTGGCGAGTTCGTAGAATCATCCGAATCGTGGGACGATGATCCGCACGTTCCCAGCTATAATCCAACGGATTATATTAATAAAGCTGATGTTTTACGCTTGCCAGTTGGTATGACACCATCTGAAAGAAATGCATTTCGTTTGGCTGAACGAAAACGTCTACAGTCTTTAGCCAAGTAAGCTATAGTATATAATAGTTACTTATCCATACATTCAATCATTTTGTTTTTAATGAAGATGATGAATTTGTTTCGTTTTTTTATAATTTTAACTGTATATAATAAATGAATTGCATAATTTTAATTTAATCGCTTTTGTTTCGAGGATGTAATAAAACAATGAAACCTGGGTAAATCTCGTAGCCTAGAGTTTACTTTCAATATTCCTGTGTTTAAATTAGGAAAAAATGGGGCATGTTATAGCAATTCGTTGTGTAAAACCGAACTTTAGAAATCTTGAATGCTGACATCTAAGAAAAATTGCATCGGAACGCTAACAAAGTCTTATGGATGGTATAAATCTGCAATGATAGACTTAAAGGATGAGTTGAAGAAAAATGCGAAATACTGGAGAAGTTTTAGTAAAAACTGGGTTTTTTGGCAGATAAAAATTGAATTTTTTACGAACTTATAGCCCATAAACTTAGTAATATTTTGTCGGCCTATACATGTTTTTAAATCAAAAACAAATAAAACACAAAGTATATTTTTTAAATGTATCTCCTTGTGCAGTCCCATCCCTGATCGTGAAGGTTGGCAACACATTTTTTATGGAGTGGCAATTCTTAACCAAAAATCGATGTTTGCCGATATTTCAGTTAATATTGTCAAGTAAGGTACACACCATCGACCAAATTTGGACTTGCTTTAGCAGATAAATTATTAGTTGCATCCATGATACAATAAGGAGGTAGAACAGCTTCGTAAAACTGCAGAAATACAGCTCTGAGGCTATGCCCGTTTCCTGTCAAAATTATTCAAAATTATAGGCAACAAATTGTTTTCATTTATTTGATATTTTTTGTTCATTTCTAAAAAGAGTCAAATAACGCGAAAGATGAATGAAATGCCTGGATGTTCTCTCAAAAATATGATCCTAAGTGTTCAATCTTTCAATTCCTTGGTAAATCTCGTTAATATTATTAATGCACACCCCGCAATTTAAGTTTCTTCCAATCATTGATTTTGAAAATATTTTGTTGTTATTTTTCAAAACAACAAATACATACACAAATTTGGCAGAAGTCGGGCACACTTAGAAAAAAATTGTAATCAGCTGGGAACTCTACCTTACCTTTTTATTGTACCATGGTTGTATCCATGGTAGAAGAATATAGATAGTCGCATCGACACAGCTGCTGGGACAATGAACTGTCAAACCAATTTTGGAATGGAAATTTTTGAATGAAAACTTATTAAAATTTGTTAAAAAACGCATATCATACTAACTCAAATTGACGTCGTATAAAAAAACATATAAAAATCTACTTATATTAAAAAAAAATACTAAGGTAAGGATTAAGGTTATGATACATGTTAGGATTGAGGTTATGATACATGCGCAGTTTGGCATGTAATATTTTGTAACATACCATAAAGAAAGAATATAATTCATTATAATCTGACGTACTTGATCGACGTTCACCACCCAAGTAAAACAAATGTATTTATATAAGAGTTGCCCAAATGCGTCGGACGTACAAAATTTCAAAATTAAACATTTTCAACTTTGACAATTAAAACAATTCCTCTGTTCCAGAACCTGCAAGAATCTATAGGTTTGCCATTTTTCCGATATCATAAAGGGAAAACCTAAGTAAAACGAATGTATTTATATGAGAGTTGCCCAAATGCGTCGGACGTACAAAATTTCAAAATTTTAACATTTGCAACTTTACAATTGAAACAATTCCTCTGTTCCAGAACCTGCAAGAATCTATAGGTTTGCCATTTGCTTCACCAAAAGAAAACAACTGTATTTAGGGGTTATCTTTGTTCTACCTTCTGTAATTGTGCCATGGTCGTATCATTTCTATTGTTTTATTGGGAGTTTTAGGTGGAAATAAAAAAATTTCATAGAATTACAAACTTTTTCGTGATTTCCCTTAAAATAAAATGTCGTTACCTTATCAATTCTACCATGGATCATAAACAAGCTGGGAACTAAAGGAACTAGATGCGAAGCAGCTGCATCTTGTTCCGGTAGTTCCTTTCAATGAATAGTTTCATTGAACAGGCTTCTCCTACAACGACGCTATTCGGGCATAGAGTACATAAACACAAGAAACAATTTCAAAACTGACCTCGAATAAAAACAGATAAATTTCAAGATGATGTTCTTGAACGACGAGGACATGGTGGAATGTCCTTATAATAATTCACATAGAATGCTAAGGAAGCGTTTGCAGTCTCATCTCCTGAAGTGTCGCATACATTATCCAAATGTTGAACTAAGGAAATGTCCGTTTAACTTATCCCATTTGATACCTGAACCAGAATTTACGGTAGTGTATTAACCACATGGATAATAATTGATTTTACTAAAAAAATACTTATTTTGTTAAAGCATCATGCCACAAACTGTCCAGATCGCAAATTAATAACTCAGTATAAATATGATGCCCCAGAGTCTGTAGAAGAGGAAGTGCCAAAACATACACCCATCGAAAGCGAAGAAAATTGGGATGAAACTGATGTACCCGATTACGATCCAAAGAAATATGTTGAAAATGCAACAGTCATACGATGTCCCCAAGGACCAACGCCATCCGAACGTAAGGAATTTATTAAAAAGGAACGTAAACGTTTGGGTGATGTTGATAGCGATGAGGATAAAGACGACGAGAGCAGAAATTCTCAAAATGATGAGCGGTCTGAACGTTCTAGATCTCCGGATTTATTGTTTAGAAATAATTCGCCACAAACTCGGACCAATCGAGACAGTAGAATGTACAACTGTGATGATGATCCTTACTATAAGCGCAATGATGAAAGAAATCCACGACCTCAAAAATCTAGTAGAGACACACAAAGGAGCGATTACTATCATAATCAGCGACAAACTGATCGTTCACCACCATATACCTCTAGTAGAAATAATAGGTCAAATAACTATGACACAGATCGTTATTTTAGTAAAAATGGAAACTCTGCATCTTCTCGATCAAATCGAGACAGAGAAGATCGACATCGCAGAAGCAGATCTCGTTCACCAACACATTCAGCAAGGGAACGGTCGCCTGCAAGACCTTATAGAAGTGGCTCACATTTCCAATTTTCTAGAGATCGCTCTCCTTCGAGGAACTCAAAATATAATGGTTATAGCAACGAGTCTGATAGATATAAGAGTCGTTCGCCCTCGTATAATAGAAGACGGCATGACAATTTTTAAAATAATTCAGAAAGAGGATGTAGTTTTGAACTATTGGAACAATTATTTCACTTGTTGTTGTGTACAACTTTTGAAAAAAAAAAAATAGAAATTTTAGTTTTTTAAATTCTTATAGGCATGAAAATAAAATTGAATTAAATATGCTGAGAGCAAACAACGCAGTAATGTTTATTTTCATTTTATTGTTCCTGATTTTGAAAATGTGTATTAATATCTGTCGTATATGTTTGCATTTCCACTGTTGACTGCGCACCGCTATCGGGTTGCTGTATGGTTATTTGATTTTGTCCATCCAAAAGGCTCATTAGAGTATTTTGATTGACTATATTGACATTATTTGTCATACCAGATGTTCCCATAACGGTTGTGGCATTCGAAAAATCCTGCATACCTAAATTATTGCCATCTGATGTTGAAGGAATTTCAAAAATGTTCATAAAATCACCCTCCTGGAATTCTTCCTTCTGCATACTCTGACTTTCTTTCATGAGTTTATCGTATTCTTGGAAGACCCCATTGAATTCGGCAATTTCCATGCGATTCTAAAATAAAATTTAATAAATCATTAAATGTATATTGTTTTCATTGTGTTTTGTTGATCCAACATACCTTGGCGATTAAGTGATGCTTAAAATAGTTGTGGACCTGTGTCAACGAATTATTGGTCATTGAGTAGTATGCCTTTTCCAAATTTTTAACTTCAATGTCACGCTGTGTTTCCAATTTGGCATCGTTAGCATGAACTTCACGCACACTTTGTAATAAATTTCGCATAAATTCTTCGCAGGCATCTGCAAACAGTACCAGTGCCGATTCTGCTGTGTCTGTAAAGCCAGCCACACGCATTTGACCACAAACGGCTTTACGCAATGATGCCCGACATATTTCTGATGTAACTTTGGGGTAATTTTGTGGTACTCCTTTGGCAAAATTTGTGTCTTGTGGAGGAACAAACCAAATTGGTTTTGTGAATTTATCATCTGAAACAAAATCTGCTACATTCTCTGGGGGGAAGTCTACTTCTGGTATCATTTGACAGGGATTTAAAAGGTAATTCGATGAGCCCTGAAAATACATAAATTAGATATTTCCTGTATTAAAAGGACTGCTATTTCCAATAAACTGCCAAATTAGTACAAATGTTTCATGCTTGCCGGAATATCATCTGTATGCAGGTTTATGTTTGACCTACATTTGCGCCTAAATTACAACAAGCAAGCCCCAATAATACTGGACGCAGTTTACCAACTCCCATATGTACAATTGTCAGGATACGAAGACATATCCTGTATCTAACTTTAGTTCTTAATACATACCGATTTGTTGGAATATGTGTCAATCAATGACTGCAACATTTCGGTCTGTTTCATCACTTCAATGGTCTGGGTAACCAAGGGATTCTTTACTTTAACTGTTACACTGTAAATCATTAAAATTGTTAGTATTCATTAATTTTTAAACAATTTGCTTATCTTACTTTTTGTTTACTTCAACTGGTAATTGATTTTGTACTTCAGATAGCTTGACTCTTTTTGCACTGAGCGGCACAACTTTGTTCATATCATTCTGAGCAGGTTTTTCATCATCGCAAAACTCGCCCCATAAATTTCTAGGCATCTTCAAAATAAATTTACTTTACTATTTTTATTATCTAAATCGGTTAAAATCGGTTTTTAATTTTGCACTGTTTTGCTGCAATTTTTTTGTTTACAAACAAAACATTCACCATAGCTTGATAACATCCATATGAAAGAAGGGTTCTCTGCTAAACATCAATTTGCTTGCCACTTGTGTTTTTTATTATGTTGCTGTATAATATTTACAATATTTTGTTGTTGTGATTTTTTACACTATACTGCTGCAACGGTTAGTTTATAATTTATAAAAAATATACGGTAGTTAATTTGTCATATTGGTTTTTTTATTGGGACAGCAATACAATCTTGCAATACACTTTGCAAACAATATTTAAAAGATAAAAACCTGACCACAGTAGACAATTGCTACACAATGCTACACAAAAACAAATTTTCTGCATTCCATTGAAAACATAAATAAGGCACCTCCAAATGACGACTTAACATGTGGCCATATGTCATACATTTAGACATGTTTATTCATTTATCTTATTGGCGCGACAAATGCTTTCAGTTTCATTCAAGTGCGTAATTCGTCTTCAATTTGCCATCGTTCCAATCGACCATTACACAAAAAGGATGCATATTCATCAGGGACAAATTGCTGTAAATGAAAAGGAATTAAATTTGGATTTGACACTATTGGGAGGCCAGAGTTTTAGGTAAGTATTACACAGCCTACATGATATAGTCAAGATATTTGAATATCTTTTTTCTTTAGGTGGGAAAAGTTAGATGGCCCTGATTGTAAAACTACATGGAAAGGTGTTGCATATAATGCATATTGGGAACTAACACAAGGTCCCAAAAACTTGCATTACACAGTTCATGGCGATTCGAGAGGAAGCAACGATGCCAATTTCTATGACAAATTATTGAAGCGTTATTTGAGATTAGATTTTGATTTGAATGAAAATGTCAATGAGTGGCGTAAATTGCATCCGCACTTTGAAGAACTTTCAACAAAACTAAAGGCGGTACGTGTCCTGGATCAAGAGCCATTGGAGAATATACTGTCATTCATATGTAGCCAGAATAACAACATTAAGAGGTAGATATCATATAATATCATCGTCGTTAACATTAAAAAGTCTCCTGCAATCGTATCTTCAACTTGTTGAACTTGGCCAGAGACAGAAGTTTCCTTCGGTGATCTTAGTTAAAAAAAAAAAAAAAAAAAAAAAAAAAAAAAAAAAAAAAAAAAAAACTTATTCAGTTTAGATATAGTCTTTGGAATAAGAACCATTTTATCGAGAAAATCTTTTTCAAATCCATTAAATTATCAACAATGAACCGAACTAAAGGATCTAATCTTAACAATTTTATAAAAGGATCGGTTTCTGTATGACAATACGAATGTGGATGGAAAAGAAAAACAGCATTCCAAATGAGTTTTCCATGTTTTCCAATTCGCAATACTGAAAGAGGCGCATAGGTGAAACATTTGTGACTATGTTAGTCCCAAATGGGCTGAAGATATTAACTAGAGATATGGAGCCAAATTATTGTGGATTTTGTAGCAGCTCTACTGTTGCTATAGTATGGGCGAGGCCCCTGGTCAGGTAGAAATCGGATTCCGGTTAGTAGACTCAATTTTAATGGGAAGGAATTGGGCCATGTTGTGTTTGTTGATATAGACCCCTACAAAACATTTTCTTTTCTATATCTTTTATTCATTAAAGATTCCATATATCTTACATCAGTGTATGTAGTCGACAAAATTTGACATCACACATGTTGCTTTTTGTCTCTTAATAATTATACCTCCTGCATTTCGGTATTTTTAATGTAACATCCGAATTCTTGACAGTTGCAAAGTTTTGTTATACAAATGCTTTCACTTTTTTGCAGTGGTGGTGATTATAAAATTTTAGCCTGGTCGAACATTATTCCATTTTCTCTATAGTAATATATTTTTTATTTATTTCAGAATATCGACCATGATAGAGTGGCTCTGTTCGAGGTATGGCAATAAGATTGGACACTTTCATGCCAAAGATGTATACACATTTCCGTCCCTTGAGTCCTTGGTGGAGCATCAAGATGAGGTAATCCGTTTTTAATGATAAATAAATTACTGTACTCTTATCATTTCCGTTTCAGATGGAAATCCAATTGCGTCAAGCCAAATTTGGATATCGAGCTAAATTCATAGCACAATCCGTTGCAAAAATAAATGAATTCGGTGGTACAAAATGGTTTGAAAATCTACGAAAATTGTCGTACCATGAAGCTCGCACAGAATTAGTGAAATTGCCTGGTATAGGATTTAAAGTGGCCGATTGTATTTGCCTTATGTCGTTGAATCACTTGGAGTCGGTACCAATTGATACGCATATTTTCAAAATTGCCCAAAGTGTATATATGCCACAATTAAAGAATGTCAAAGCCGTTACTCCTAAGATCTACGAAGAAATTGCGGAGAACTTTCGAAATATTTATGGACCCTATGCTGGATGGACGCAGGCGGTTTGTGACATACATTTTCAAAATAAATTCTTTTTATATTTAAGGCTTTTTTAATTCAATTTCTAGGTCTTATTCTGCTCCGAATTGCAACAATTCCAAACAGAAAAGGGTGTTGAAAAATCGCCGAGCAAAACCAACAAGAAACGAAAGAAGTGATGTACAATATGATTTGTAAGTAAAATTAAAATATTCTTTATTTTATCTTTAGTTCTTTTCTCTTAAATACAAATAAGGTATCCTTTCATTCTTAATTACATATCTATTGTATTACAAAATAGCCAACTGTTAACAAAATAGTATATAGTAGAAAACTGCTATAACTAAATGTGTCCACAAAGTGTTTTTTTGAAAACTGCAAGTAAATATGAAATAAAAAGAAAAAACGTTTATGAAATATAGAAATATAGTACGAAGTGCTTAGGGAACCTACTGCATTCCATCTATGCTGATTTGTACTTGAGCGACCATCCAAAATGCTTGTGACGAGAAAAAAAATATCCATATCACGAATATCTTATAATTTACAGTCCACCGCCGTGTTGTGTTTCATCCTCCTCGGCATCTTCCATTATTTTCTCTTCAGTCTGTACCTTTTTCAAAGTAGAATAGATCAATTTTGGGAATTACTGGTGTTTTTAAGTAAAACTTACCTTAAATTTTCGTGCCTCTTTGCTGTTGTCGTTCTCCTGGGGACTATCTGAGCCGTCAGTTGTTTTAATAAATGACGAATAAAACGATGAAAAGCTGGAACCGTCCATATCATCACTATTACCATTACTATCGGTGTTGGGCTGTAAAAAATTAGATACGATCCTTAAACATATTTTTTAAATGTGTAAGTTTCAAAATTACCTTAAGAGTGTTTTCGTTGTGCTGATCAGAAACATAATCACCCATGACAGAGACAATGGGAGAACCAGCAATTCCCTTTTTAGAAGAATCCGATGGAGCCTATTCGAAAACAAAATAATATGAACAGTGTAAATAACCCCATAACAATATCTCTTCTAATCTAAACCTACCATATTTGATCCTGGCTCGGCTTTTACCGAAGTGGCCTGGGACGATGGTCGCTGCAATTGCACGGGTGTTATTGAATGAAAAGCTCCCTGTTGTTGCTGCTGATGTGGCTGTTGTTGTTGAGGTTTAGAACTATTTGGGGCCACCATTAAATTTTGATTCTAACAAAAAAGACAAAGGATTTAATTTTACAATTATCCATCAAGAGATATATCCATCTTTCTCTTACCGTTCGAAAATCTACTGCTGCTCCCACGCTTCTCTCTGGGGCCATGCTCAAATTGCTGGTCACATTTGAAAATGAAACCGGCTGGTACATCATAGCTGCTGCAGGATGTGTATAGAACAAAGGCGGATGTGGATACATAACGCCTGTCATATACTGAAGGGGTAATGTTTGATTTGAAGTACTTGGCATGTCGGCGGGATTACGTTTAGCTTGAACAGCTGCTGCAGCAGCGGCTGCGGTAGGACCAGGGGCAGGAATATAATAAATAGTGGGAAACATACTGTGCGGAGGAGTGAAACTGTTTTGGGCTATGGGCGATGTATGTGTGGTATGAGTGGAGAGTCCCACCGAAAACGGAGGCCATAAATTTACACTGCGAGTATAATTCAGACCAGTCGTATAGGGAATTCTCAATGCAGAACTGTCCAGTGTTGTTTGACGATTATTGAATACTTTGTTGTTGGTATTAGTGTTACAGGGTTGTTGTGCAACATTGTGATGTTCGACAAAATCGCGCTGCATCTCCAAAAGATTGGTATGCTGTTGTTTGGGTCGATTTGCTTCACCCTCCCAAGAATGGCAACCCACCCGTTTTATACCATGACCCGGTCCGCTATACTCCATGGTTTTATCGGAAGATTTCTTATTCTTCTCACCACATCCTCGACCCCTAGACTCCCTATGCTTCTTCAGCATGAATTTTTCCATTTCATCATTGTGTTTCTTCAGTAATGATTCAGTAAGCGTGACGAGAGGTGCACTGCCGGAGGAAGTACCCGTGCCAGTATTACTGGTATTTGTAACACTGCCCATGTTCAGATTACTGCCCGAAGTACAATTTCTCGAAGATCCACTGCCTCCACTATCCTCAAAACATTGCATTGGACTGAGATTGCTTCCGGTATTGGCCGGAGTACTGTAGGATTGTTCCATTTTAATGGGATCCGTTTCTACGGGTGCTGTAACAGGCTTGCTGTTAAAAAAACGTTGCAAATTTTCATTGTAATTCAATTGATTGTACGATGGCGGAGTCTCAATGGAACTTTTACTGTCATAGTAATCATGGTGTGGTGAAATTTCACCCAACATAACCGAGTCACGTTCGGAAACGGTTAGTTCATTTTCATTTGGTAGCTCTAATTTGAGATCTTGACGGGCCACTTCATTCATCAGGGGTTCCATAAAAGACGCCAATGCCTGACAACGTCGAGAAACTTCCTGTTTGACAGTATCGCTGGGACGGGAAATAGTTTCGGATAAAAGTTTAAGAATATCCTCTTTTATGCGTGTTATGCGCTGCATTGCCTCCTCGGAGAGTTTGGGTTTGTTGGATGGTGGTGGATCAAAGACATTTAGATTTTTGGGACCTGAAATAAGCAATGAAGATATGCTTTAGGAAAGCTCCTAGGCATAATAGTGTTTTAACTTACCCTGAAAGACGCGATGGTGTCCAATGACAAATTCCAATTTTCTTGACCATGGATTTACGAAGCTGGTCCACTCTGTATCCAAGAGAACATAGCAGCCATTTTGCACAAGGAATCTATAGGGTTTGCTACAAAATGAAGCACCAGCCGTTTGGCCTTTCTTCATAACAGTCTCGTAGATTTCCTTTAAGACAGTGAGATCTTCATGGTGATAAAAGTCCAATATGGAGCGACCAATAAGGTCCTGGGGCAAATAACCCAATGCTGAAACAGCTCCACTATCTACTGTTGAAATAATACCAGTCTTTGTGTGACGTATTGCAAATTTAGGAGTTTTTCGGGATAGCAATTCATCGCATACTGAAAAATAGGAAAATTAGAGAAAACTGTGGAAAGTTTCGGTTCTTTTGAGATACCTTTGTAAGCACTTTTTATGGGTGTGGCACATATTACCAATAGCATATTTGTGCCACTGGGCAAGGAATTGTCTGACCTTGCCTCTTCGGGGGCTTCACGAAAAGTCAGACCCAAACGGAATGGCTCATAATTCACTGAACGTCCAATAACACCATAACCCCCCGATTTCAGGCCACGATAACGTCTCAACATTACACAACATGAGCTGCGGGCATCTTTGGGTATACTGCTCCTCGACTCGGCAATAGGAATGCCCGTAGTTATCTGGCTGGCAAATGTGGCACGATCTTTGGGATGTACAAAATCAATAAATGAACGTCCCAGCCACATATCTCTGGGGAAACCGAGTACATCTGTAATACTGGGAGTGGTATACAAAACAATGCCATCATGCATTGATATAACGCAACAGAAACTGTCCTGGAAAATAATGTCAAAACATTAGGCAAATTCTTTGTTTTTTATTTCTCTCATTGAGTTACCTCTTTAAGTTTTTCAGTTTTTCCCGAAGATTCCAATTTACCAGGTGCCGATTCGCAAGTTTTCTCAGATTTTACACCTTGATTGGTGGTTGCCGACAATGGTGAAGGTATGGGTGACTGAAGCGACTTTTCTATTTTGGGTTCATTATTTTCCTTTTCCAAATTCTCTTTATTCTCCTTTTGTCGATTACCTTGAGCTATGGATAAACAGGGTATATTTTAAATATCAAACATGATTTATTTCGTTTACCACCTACTCATTGTAATATCATTGAGATCAATTTCTTCATCAGCTTTTGTTTCATTTGTTTTGGCCACATCTTCTTGTGAATCCAAGGCATTCGTCACCGTTGATGAACACTTTTGTTTCTTCTTTTTCCTGCCCTTGTCCTTACCCCTTTTGGTGATGTGAATTTCACTTTGTGTATTAATGGAGGAAAAATTACAATTAATTTCAGAATAATATGGAAATAGGAATTTAAGTTTTAACCTGCTGGTTTGTGTTGATGGTTTGCCGCCATAACCGCTGCTTCCCGACGAATGACTCCCACTTAGGCGAGATTTTGAACTGCCACTGAAAATGGAAATTGAAAGAAATATTAACATAAGGTTTATCAAATGGATAATAATGTTTAAATAAGGCAAGCTTCAGAACAGAATTTTGTACTGAACTATTATTGATTTAAACATAATTGCAATGAAACTAATATACGAATACCATTGTTAAAAGTTGAATTATTATTATCATAAATATTTTTACAGGGTGGGGTAAAAAAACTGCAAAAAAGTCAAACGCCATAATTTTTACATTTTTTTAATTTTATTGAAAAAAAAAGCAAAAAAATGTCGGAAATAGCATCAAATTTTAGAATAAATTTAGATTTGAATTGGTCACCTTTAGCACGAATAATGGCCTTCAACCTTGCTTTCCAAAATGCTCCAAACACAACAGTCCAACGGATTGATATCCGGAGATTTTGGAGGCCATTGTGCGCTGGAAATTAAGCGAGGAACACCATTTTGTAACCATTCTTGGTTGGCGCGTGCTCAGTGCGTTGGTGCTCAGTCCTATTGGAATGTCCAAGGTCTGCGGCCAAAATGTTTGCGTGTCCAAGGCTTTAATACACCCTCCAAAATATTTTCACCATAATATTCGCCACTTATTCGATTAATACGAGCGGAGAGCGACCATCGGCTGTTATGGCGGACTATACCATCACTATGGCTGGCGCTTGAGTTCTGGTGGCCAACCGAAGGTGCACATTTTCAGCTGACCTCTTTGGCAAGTAAACACGATCATTTTGTTTGTTTACAAACTGCTGGACATCGAATGATTTCTCATCGGTGAAAACCAAATTCGGCACTTTCGGCCAACCAAAGCATCTCTTTAGCTCTTTTGAGTCCATTTTCTTGCACTTTTTGGAATTTCAATGGCTTTACCCCGTGCTCATTTTTCAATATTTTTCGAATGGAATATTGCGATATGTTCAGTTCACGAGCAATTTTTCGGCCACTGCGACACGGATTTCGATCAAGTCGCTTCTTTACTTTTCGAAGCATTTCTGCAGATGTTGTTGTTTTCTTCCGTCCCCTCCTTGACATCGGTCTACGCGTCGGTAACGAGCGATGGTACGAGACACAAAAGATTTATTCACATTTAAATGCTGGAGTGCTTTAACAATAGTTACTTGTGGTTTTCCAGCCAAATATAAAGAAATCACACTGTCACGCTTGAATTACATCACGAATAACTTTTTTTCTGGAGAATTCTCACCAAAATGATTTTGTACGCTTGTAAACAATATAATGATAATATTAACAGCTGTCGGACGAATGGCTTAGAAATGACAACAGTCTGAAGTTGGTTTCAGTTTTTTCATCTCACCCTGTATTTATACCATACACCACAAGGTGGTCAGGGTATTATGTCTTTGTGCATTTGTTTGTAACAGACAAAAAGAAACGAGATAGACCCATAGTTCCTTTTGATAATCTGCATTTGTAATTTAAATATAACTACCATATATTTGACTGATTTGACTTTTTTTGTGCACCTAACGTGAAATATCAGCCCAAATAGTATGGAATTTTGCATATATGACCAAATTAGGCCTGGAAATTGGTTCAGATATACCTATAACTCCCATATATATTGTTCATCCGATTTGATTTTTTGTCCTTCACAGCCGTAATATGCACTCTGTAACAACGATATTTGGGTAAATATATCAAATATTGCACAGAAATACCTTCCCCAAATTTTATCGAGATCGGTTCAGATTTGGATATAGCTCCCATATATATCTTCGTCCGATTTTCCTTTTATTGCGCACCAAACGTGTAATATTAGTCCAAATTGGGATGGAATTTGGCATTTACCACCAAATTGAGCATTGAAATAAGTATGTCAAATTTAGTATGTCAAATCGGTTCAGATATAGCTATAGCTCCCATATAGGTTGTTCATCCGATTTGTTATATTTTTTATTTGTTATATGAAGCTCTACTAAATATGCAAAGGGGTGTAGGGTATTTTTTTTACTGGCTTTATAGATAATTTTAATATTTTTATTACAATTTTTATGGTTTTTTATAACTATAATTATTGTCAATATTTTTATTGTTAATATTATTTTTATTACTATAAATACCATTATTGTTTTAAACATTACTGTCTAACATGACAATGTTTATTATTAATAAATTATATCTATTTTTTATTATTATTATCATCAATTTTAATTATTATTGCTCCCATTTTAGTTATTATTATTATTATTATTATTATTATTATTATTATTATTATTATTATTAAGTTTATTCTTTTTATTATTAATGTTTTCCAAATTATTGGCTGTCTGATACAAATGTTTTTTTATTTATATTTATTGGGCACACTCCATCAATTCCTCATAATTATCGTAACTGTGAGAAATACTTTTCATAACAGACTTTTCCAGAAAATGAGGTGTGATTATATATTTTTAGAACTTTATTAAAAAACCACCACTATGTGATTTCTGTCTATTTTTGTTGAATATTTGCAAAAAATCACAATTCAATAATTTCGTATTAGCTGTGATATTTGTTTTAAGAGGTTATTACTAAGCCAGCAAAGATAAATGCCTCCTTTTCTCAGAATAAAAATTTATTTCTTTTTTTATTTCTTTTTATTTCGTTTTGTACAGTTTATGAAACATTGTTGCGACTTTGGGCCATTTCATTCCAGCTCAAATTTCCATTCAAGAAGACAAGACATGTGTCCGCAACATTATGAAGATTGAATGTGTTCTTAGAAGTATCTATTTTTTTTCTTTATTAGAAAAAAATATTAGACTTTTTTACTAATTATAGATACATATGTCAAAACACGCGTATAAGATTATATAAAATGTTTGATAAGTCTAAAAGAATTCTTCATTTTCTGGAGGTTATAGACCCAATATTTTTATACTCTCCACCTTGAAAAGAAGGGTATATTAAGATTGTCATTCCGGTTGTAACATCCCTAAATATTTGTAGTAGACTCCATACAGTATATAGGGTGAGATGAAAAAACTGCAAGCAACTTCAGACTGCTGTCATTTCAAAGTTACTCGCCTGCACAGCTTCTAAAATTATTCCAGTGACAGCTCATTATATTGTTTACAAGCGTACAAAAGAATTTTGATGAGAATTTTCCAGAAAAAAAGTTATTCGTGATGGAATTCAAGCGTGATAGTGTGAGTTCTTTATATTTGGCTGGAAAACCACAAGTGGCTATCGTTAGAGCTCTCCAGCATTTACATGTGAATAAAACCTTTGTGTCTCGTATTATCGCTCGTTACCATGATGCTGGTAGCGTAGCCCGGCGTCAAGGAAGTGGACGAAAGAAAACAGCAACATCAGCAGAAATGGTTCGATAAGTAAAGAAGCAACCTGATCGAAACACGCGTCGCAGTGGCCGAAAAATGGCTCGTGAGCTGAACATATCGCAATATTCCATTCGGTAAATATTATAAAATAAGCCATTGAATTTCCAAAAAGTGTAAGAACTTACACCGCAACAGAAAGAAAATAGACTCAAAAGAGCTAAAGAGTTGCTTCGGTTGGTTGGAATTTGCTTTTCTACGATGAGAAAACATTCGTTGTCCAGCAGTTTGTTTACTTGCCAAAGAGGTCAGCTCAATATGTGCACCTTCGGTTGGCCACCAGAACTCAAGCGCCGGTCATGGTGATGTTGTGGGGCGCCATAAAAGCCAATGGTCGCTCTCCGCTCGTATTATTCGATCATGGCATCAGTATAAATGCCGAATATTATCGCGAATCGAATACTCTGGAGGCTGTATTAAAGACTTGGGCACGTAAACATTTTGGCCGAAGACCTTGAACATTCCAACAGGACTAAGAACCGTCGGACTCAGCACGCGCCACCCAAGAATGGTTACAAAATGAGGTTCCTCGCTTCATTTCCAGCGCACAATGGCCACCAAAATTTCATTGAAGTGATTCAAATACAAAATTTTAGATTAAAAAAAACTTAAAAACTTTGACCTAATATCCCAAAACTCTTTTAAGCCGAGTATTATTAAATCCACTTAGTGTTTTCCCCAAACCAAACAGGACAGTGAAATCATAAGAAAAATTGCGGAAAATTTGGTTTACATAGAAAAATTCATCCTTTGACGCTTTCACAATGAATTCAAATATTAAAGGAACAAAAATAGAAGAATTTTGCATATATCCACACGAAGTATGGCTATAGCCCTAAAATGTTTATTTTATATTTATACATTCTTGGCGCTGTGTATAATTTAGACTATTGATTTATTCTGGGACCTATGGTAGACGGTTATTGAAAATCGGATTGTTATTAGTAATATTTCCAAAGACCTAAAATGCAAGGATTCCAATGAATTTTAATCCGAAAATTTCGAAAAATGTGGAAGAGAGGGCTATAGTGCGATGTAATCTTTCAAAACGCCTATACAAGTGCCAAACAATTCAAATTTTAACTATATTGAACATTTAATGAACCATTTGCTACATTTTCTAACACTTGTATACGTGTTCTTTAAGTACACCTTAATGAAGAGCTATCAGATTTTGTTGGAAAGAATTCATTCACATTTGTTTAAAGGTTTGCACAGCAACTCCTTTTTTAAATGAGAGCTGCTGATCATCATTTTTATAATTCTGGGGCCGAATTTCATCTTCAGCTTATAAATTTAGAAATTTATGATACTCCTAAATTGTTTTGTTATTTAAAATTTGTTTGTTTTTACGCTTAAATATATAACAGTTTAAATTCGGCTATTTTGAAACATGGGTTTGAATTTTTCGAAAAATTATGATTCTCCTATATTTTTATTATTTACATTTATTTTTACACTTAATTTTATAAAAGAATTTAGGTTATTTTGAAACATACCTTCTCTGGGATTGACTGTTACTGCAGCTGTTTGAATAGGCAGAATCCGATACCTTTGTATTATGTGTTGATTCCGTAGATTCACCTTCCATTTTTTATTTGTTTTTGTTTTTTGTGCACTTTTAGTTTTGTTTTGAAAACACTTCTTTAAAATCGTTGCTGTTTTTTATTTTTATTTAAATGATTTCAGTTTTTTGTTTGTTTTTGGTTTCCACTTTTCAAATATTATACGTTATTTCATTTTCCTTTGGAAGAATATTAATAAAATTAATTAATACATGCATATAATTATTTTTCTATATTAATTTCTTGTTTGTTTTGAAATTTCACTTCAAATATTACACTTTATATTGTTTTCTTCTAAAAAAAATATTAGTAAATTAAATTAGTACACACACGCATATTTTTATTGTTCTATTTCCATTCAGTTGTCCGTTACTTTGTTTTATTTATTTATTTATTTATTGCAACAAATTATTTTTCAATTCAATGTATCCGCTGAGCATTAAAGTCTGCACTGAACGATGCTTGGCAAAACAATTTGACTATATCTGACGTGCATCCCTTATGGGATCACGTGTCAGTGGCAGTGTTTGAACTAGCACATGTTCTACTGGGATGTTTGCGTCTGCATGATTACGTACCGTGTCAGTACCACCCACCCACCCAACAACTCATCCACATCCATGCCATAATACAGAGGAGGAATAAACACAAAAAATTACCATTGCCATCGTCACCGTTCAAACCATCTTCGTCGCCAGCACGACAGTGGACAATGTGCCAGGCCAGCTGTATTCGAGCAACAGATACACGGCATACGGCATGTGGTATTATGGAATACAAAAGGTAGCAGCATCACCATCATCGGCAAGCGGTAGTACGTACCTTTGTTTGGGATTGATTTTGATTCTTCCAGAAAATGCGAAACATTTCTGTTTTGATAGTCATATCCGTTTTATGTACATACATACATACACACATGTATGTATGAATGTTACTGTGAGACTTTCATGAATCATTTATGACCCCATTTTGAATTCTTTACCCACATTAAAATGAGTTATGTTTATTATTATTATTTTTGCAAAAGGAACATTTTCTTTGTGGATTATTTAGTGTGTTTAGGGATCCCTGTTATGTTATCAACTGTTGAATGAAAAGGGTGACAGTTCTGAAAAATGGTATGCTCATTACTTGGGTATACAGAGGCTATATGGCATTATATATTATTCAAGAAAATGAGGATTTTAGACCCTTCGTCCCTTTTGAGGAAAATCGTTACAATCAATCAATCTAGAGATTTTAGTCTACCCACACTTTTCGGTGCCCAACCATAAAGTTCAACATTTTCCGAAAATTATACATATCTCTTGTAAAGCAAGGGGAGTACTTGATTCAATAGTTCAAACTTGGCATATTTCATATATTGCGAAAATGCAAAATATCGAGCCATCCCTTCTAACTCTATCTTTCCTAGAGGATGACATCAGTGTCCGATTTTCTCCAAACTTTAAAATATTAGAAATCTTATAACTCCTCTACAAAAGCAAAGTTGTCCAAAAAATTATTCGATAAAATTGAAAGAGCGTATGTTAAAATAAAAAAGTAATATACCGGCATACTCCTACTTGTTCCGGAAATAAAATAAAACATGGCATCAGAAAAATTGTTAAGAGGAAATAACGAAGGCAGGTCGTCTTGAAATAATAGTTTTCTTTTCTTTGGGAGACTTGAGCGTAATACAGAATCAGGAATTCTTTGCAAGATATACATTTACATCTTCTTTGATACATCTGCATATCTTCTTCGAAAGCACTTACTGAACATATATGAAGCGATAAAGAAATCTCTTGGAAATGATTTTTATATCAGATCTTAATGTCTTCTTTGTTAATATTATAGATTTTCTATGAGCAGATTTAAAGATCTGCTAGATAAAGATGAAGATCTTTTAAGAGATCGACAGTCTCTCATAGACAAAGTCAAAAGATCTTCTATGAGAAGATCTCAAAGAATAAACATCTTTAAATGGATGAAAAGATCTTCTATATAATATCTCAAAATCTTTAGAACCCCGATTTTCTATACTTCTGCTTTTTGTATACCCTACACCACATAGTGGTGTGTCGTTGTGCATTTGTTTGCAACATGGAGAAGGAATCGAGATAGACCCATCTTCATAGAATCATTGCAGATCGCATTCATTATCCGATTGAGATGAAATTTTGCAAATAATATTTGTTTCGCCTAAGGACGAACTCTTTGTCCCTCACCAGCGTAATATGCACTCGACAACAATGATATTTGATACCGGGCATCAGATACTGCTCGAAAATATCTATGTCATATTTTATCGAGATCGGTTCAGATTATATTAAATATATCTCCGATATACATATTCATCCGATTTTACGGTTATTGCTCACCATATATTTAATATGTAGTGTAGTTTTCAATCGCGAGTAAAATCGAGCAAACATGACCTCTGTTTCCATGAGGCTGAAGAAATTAACGGACAATAATTTCAGACCCCTTAAAGTGTATATATTCATGATCAGTATAAAATTCTTAGTCGATTTAGCGATGCCCGTCCATCTATGGAAATCACTGTAGCCTCCGAACAAACTGAAATAGGTAGGTAGGTATTTTACTCAAATGTGCGTTTGCTCTTTTGGTACTTTTGGTATTGAAAATGGGCTATATATTTTGATTTTTAAATTTCGTAATACAAGTTTGTAAGTTTGACCAGGTCTTCGTATAGCCCCCATATAACGGTACATCTCGGAACTATTTTAAATTTCGTATTTGAAGTTCCTAATGGCACCGAAAGTTGTTTATGCTGATCCATGTCTTCGTATAGGTCCCCTATAACGGTACCTTCCCGTATTCGGCATTTTGATGATTTTAGCTACATTATTCAACGGAATTGTTTAAAAATTCGTATTTGAAGTTCCTAATGGGTACTACTACCCGTGACAGAAATTTGCCTATGCGGGTTCATTTCTTCGTGTAGACTCAAATAACGGTACCTCTTTATATTCGGTATTTTGATGTTTGTGCGAAATTATTTACCGGAATTGTATCAAGTTTCGTATTTGAATATTGTAATGGCCTGTGACAAAAATTGCTTGTGCACATCCACGTAGACCCCAAAATAACGATAACTCCCTATATTCTGTATTCTTAAGATTTTAACAGAATTGTTTACGGATTTTTTTTAATTTCCAAATTCGTTCTTGATCGTGGAGGGTATGCAAAGTTCGGCCCGGTCGAACCAACTTCTTTTTTACTTGTTAATCGTTTAACCTCCACGAGGAAAATATGTTCCACCCCTAACAAATGAGAGCACTTATCGAAACTATAAATGAGAACATTTCAGAACACAATTGAATTTTTTTTTTAGAAAAAATTGTTTGCTTAAACAGAGCTTAGGCTACGTGCTAAATGTCTGTATCAAATATTTTTTGGTATGTCTCTCTCCTGTTGAATTTGAAAATATGTTGAAAACATCAACATTTTTGGAAAATCTTGAAGGATAAATAATTATTTTTACAGGTTACATGAATGTATATTCCATGTGACGATAAGTGTCGTGTGAACGGCTTGATTTGTGTACATAATTCTGAGTGCTAACAACTTGTTACTCTACCAATGGGAACATGCCATAATTAAATTCTTTATACCTCGATCTCATTAAATTGTTCACTTTTTATCTATTTTCCTATTTTCAAATTTAACACGGGTGAACTGTCAAAATTACTTTGGTCTATAAATAAATTCACAAAATTATGGCTTTCTTATTTCCTAGTTTTGGTGAAAATTCGAACTCGTAAAAGCGTACCTCAGATGAGGTACTCATTTACGCCGTTCAATATGTTACCTATTTATTCATGATTTTAATTTTTTTTTTTTAGAAAAATGCTATAAATTTTATTTTTTGTGTGTTTTTTTTTTTGTGGGTTATTAAGTAGGTGTTCAATAATTAAAGGATCTATCAAAGAATAGAGAGCGTATCACGTACCATGTGAACTTGGTTTATAAATATTTGCGTATCGATATTATAATCATGAATTTCATCACGTATTTATTTTTTACGGCACTCGCACAAATACCAACATTAGCATTATGTTCGTCCTTACAGGTGACAAACACCTATCGCAGACGTTTTCCCAAGTATATACTCACAACGCATTTGCGTGGCTACGTGCACGTATCAGGGTTGCCAATTAGCCATTTTTCATTGGAAATGATTAGAATTTTTTCTGGTAGCAATGTGTCTTCTTTTTCTAGTTTTTTGCATCTTCTGACTTTACAAAGAGACCGATATTGGGTGTACCTTTCGACAGAAGCTACTAAGAGTATATATTTTAGGCTCAAAATTCACATTTTTTTCAGTTTGACCAAAATTTTTAATCAAAACGGCATCGTACTAAATTTTCAGATTTTAAACTTATTTACTTTTTTTTGGAAGAAAAAATAGGAATTCAAGTTTTCTCTTCAAAACTAGCCAAGGTCTCCATATGTAAACCCTTTATACAGCGTTCAGCCTAATACCAAATTTCAAGCCCCCATTTGTTCAACCAATACCAAATAGTACCAAATATAGTCCCATTTAGTACTTTCGTACACTTGTAGTACACATTTCTAAAACCACCTCTTTATCACAACCTATCAGCAACAGTGACCCCAATACAAAATTTCAAAAATCCAGCTTCATCCGTTCACCCTAAACCAAAATTTTCCAAATATAGTACCATTAGTAGACATTTCCAGAACCACCTTCATACCCCAAACTTACTTTTCAAACTTGATTCTTATACCAAAATTCATATACCGACCCTAATACCAAATTTCAGGTTTCAAGAACTATCTGTTCGCCTCTTTATCACAACCTACCACCAACAGTGACTCCAATACAAAACTCCAGCTTCATCCGTTCACCCTAAACCAAAATGTTAAAAAATTTAGTATCATTTAGTACAGTTAGTATCCCAAACTTTCAAATCTTGATTCTCATACCAAATTTCAAGTTGCTTGGTCTATCCCTTCACACAATACCAAATGGTACCATTTAAGAAGTTTAGTACCATTTTAGAACTTTTCGTAACCTTAAAGTTCGAATTTCCAAAAACCCTTTGGTACATCTCTCCAGCACTCCATCAGTGACTCATTGCAAAGCTCATTCCGTTTGTCCAACACGAAGTATTTAATTTTTAGTACATTTTAGTATTTTTAGTACATT